GGATTTTAGCTTACTGTTTGTATATATATATATATGTAAGTGAGCGTGTGCAGGACTAGGCCTAAGGGCTTATGTCTGACTTCCGTTTTGTCAAGCCAACCATTGTGCCTCACGTGGAGGTTCTTGAAGTGTCACATGTTATAAGCTTCGGTTGTTTCTGTATTTAAGACTTTGTTTGTTTTGTTGGTTGTATTTAAGATGCTATAGTTAAGTGTGTGGGTATAACGTGAGAATGATTTTTGGTTATGTATATAAAGTTTTAAATATTCCATTTCATATAAGTCTACATAGCTCATTGGACAATTATATTTATGTATTTGCTTCCGCTAGTCCCTTAATTTTGTTTAATCTGTTCAGAGGCTTTTGGTAATCCTAGAATTACTAGCCGGTTACGATGCTAAACCTATAGGGACAAGTTTGGGTCGTGATAGTACTATTTACCGATTAGAGATTAATTTTACCCGGCTCCCACGCACTATAATGCAGAGAATTTAGATTTAGACAAAGTCAGACTAACCCCACTTGTTTGGGCAAGGGTATAGTAAGAATAGTTGAATTTGAAAGTCAAAATAAATGGGATTGAACCAGACTCCTTATCGGAAAAATTGATAAGCAATAGTAATCTCATTTTAGATTGTCGGTACCATATGAACAGATTAAGAGCTCAAATAGTTAGCCATGTCTATTGGAAGGCTAATTGATGTGCAGATATTATAGCTGACCATAGAATTTGCACAACTTTCTCCTTTCTTTCTAATAAAATTATTTTCTTTGTTGATAAAAAAAAAAATGGAATTTGTATAACTAAATTGACTACAATTTTTTCAACATGTTACTATTTTTATTGCAAATCAATTGTGTGATGATGCTAGAGGGGTAAATATCCTGGAATTCTTAGTTTTTTTCATGAATAACATAATTTTGAAGGAATTAAAAATTGAATATTTTATAAGTGTAAAGAATTTCTCATATAATGTGGTGACATTGGTCGAGCCCTCCGTATGCCTCTATATTTGGGGCTTTACTTTGCACCCAATATTAGTAATTGGGTTAAAAAAAATTTTTGATCGGCAAAATGAAAACTTTATTGATGCAAACCAAACAGAGTAAGGAGGGTACAACAATAAAGAGGAGCTTGGAGCTAAGCGAAGCTCCAACCTCCCAGTTGATGAGAAACCAACAGATAAAGTAATAACCTACAGATCAGATCAAGCAAAACAGAACAAAACCAGAAAATCAGTGCAGTCCACTCAGCTCCTGGCTCAAATAAACAGACCAAACAGACCTACACTCCTATGCATAGCAAACCCAGAACTACACTGCAGCAACACAGCAAAATGGACTGCATCCATACAAAACCATGACTGGGAAACCAGACTTCACCCTGGTTAGCACACCCCTCAGCACCAAAACCAATCCAACATATCAGCACCAGATTTGAGAGCAAAGCTGAAAAAGATCCCTTCAGCGCAACATAACAGCAGCATATCAGAAATTCACTTCAGAACTTAGCACCACAGAACTCAGACTATAAGCTCAGACTATTGCTGTGTCATAACAGTCTAAAACCCCAAATTCCTTCCTACTCCAGTGCTATCACCACTTAATCTGTTTTCAGAGCTGCACCCGGCACAATTTCTACTATCAACTCCCTGCAAGAGCCCAGCAAAGACTAATAGAAGACAGCACCAAGGGAGGACCACTTCAAAGAACAGCAACCATTACACAGAAAACAGCAGAAGAAGAGTTGGTGAGAAACCAACGGAGGAAACAAAAAAATGGATTGGACTCCCCCCAACAAGGACTCCACACAAAACATGGACTCAACCCAACAAAAGCAGAAAGACCAGCAAGCATAACAGGACAGATGAGGTACCCACTGATGATGACCAACTAATCAGATCAAACCATATGATTCTAGCCACAACCCACCATTGAAAGCCAAATCCAGCAGATTCTGTTCAGAAACAAAGGCAAGAAGTGCAACAAAACCAGCCCAGCAAGCCACTGGAATATTGACAGTTAAGACTGTAGCAGACCATGCCTCACACCTGAAATATTGTAGAGAAAATCTGAAACCGAGAAATGGAGCTTGTTAGAAGCAGCCTTAATCCAAAGAGCCAGCCGAATGAGAATCAGATCTTGGAGATCTTGCAGTTTAGGAGTAGATGCATTAAAGCAGCAGTCGTTTCTGTGATTCCAGATCGACCAGAGTGTTACCAGGGGTATTGCACGCCAAATTCGCTGTTCAGCTTTCTTACAGGAGTGCCCTGACCACCAGAGTAACAGACCATGGACAGAATAAGGAGCAGCCCAAGAGACACCCCACCATTGCAGAAGACCAGACCAGACTTTCCAAACAGATGGGCAGTGGATAAGAACATGCTCGATAGATTCCTGATGGGCTTTACAAAACACGCAAAGTGTAGAAGCAGAACTGTCCAAGACTCCAATCCGCTGTAGGAAAACAGAGGTTTTGATCTTGTGCTTCCAAGCTAGCCAGCCGAAGAATTGCACCTTAGGAGAGAGATATTTAATCCACACCAGATGATAGAACCAATCCGTACCTCCATAAACACTTAGTCAAATCCATTTTTACAACATCAATCGAATTTAAGATTGAAGAAAAAGCATAATCTCACGGAGTATGAATTCAAATCATATTTTTTGCCAAAGAAAACAACCTCAGCTGGTGCATTTTTGTAGCCACTAAACCTATGTGCATGCCTAATTATGTGTTAAATTAGTCAAATTCAACGTTGTTGTCGACAAAATTAGCCACTCGTACCCAATTGGCGTGCATGGCATTTTTTTTATTTTTTAAGGAAAAAATCACATATTGATAAAGCAATATTTTTTAAATTTTGTCTGATAAGCATTTCGATAAATAGATTTCATTTTAACGGACTAGCTTGTTCTATTGGACAACAAAGATAGCAACTTTTTCACTTGGCTCAAATTATTCTTTTGTATTTTGTTTCTTTTGTTAAAGAAATATCAGTGTATGCATGAAGTAGCTAGCTTAACATGCATGCCAGGAGGTTGTCACTTTACATATGATTCCATGATAGTTATATATGACCCAACATTTGTTCACAAATCACAAGTTGTGTTTTCTACCCAATGGCAATGCAACCTATTAAGTCTGGTTTATTTGTCATGGTTTTCTTATATACATATTAGCAAGATATACTTTCTAAAATCCAAAGGATTGACTTAGTAGTCAAAACCTGGAGCTTGAGATGAACAAATAAATTATTGATGTCAGTTCATACAGAATTTTGTCCAGGTTTTAATCGGATCCCTCCGTTAGTAGACGATGAGATTAGTCTCTCGAATTAGTCAGTTTAGTGGGCCGAATATTGAGTTATAAAATAAGGTATATAAACTTAACTATTTAAGTTAAAACTGAAGTACAATGACATTTAAACCACACATCTTAAAATAATGTAGGTTTTTTTTAACTTTAAATATAAATTTATTTTTTTGATGGGCAAATAAAATAATTAAAAGAGATATCATACAATCACTTTTTTACATTATTTTCTCATCTCTTAGCATGAATGAGAGTCTCATGTGCATTTAGTAATGTGAGTCTCAAGGTATTATATTTAGGAATGCAAAAATGGGTAACAAATTGAAATTATGTATAATATTGCTCAAAATTAAAGACAACATTGATACAATAAAAATTATAAATATCAAATTAACAAAATAGGCACATTATAAGAATCACGAATATAATTAGCCCTTATGTTTATTATGTCGGCTATTTACACGACTTGATTAACGGGAAAATGACGAAGTATTTGCATTTATGTATATTTTGACATAGTTTGTTATAGTGATCTTATGAATTTCTATAATAAATAATTATTGAGAAAAAATGTCTCATTATAATCTCTCTCGATGTTCGCCCATGAATAGAAACTGATAAGTGAACCATATATACTCTTAAATCATTGGTGTGATGAATTATGTTTTAATTTTTTCCATCTTGATCTTCGTCATAACAATTATTGCTTGAATAGTTTTAAGACATGAGTAGTAACATTGAATTAAATTCAATGATGATCGCTTCTTGATACCAAACTCTGGAGGAGGTAGGAGGTTGTCTCTTTCAAATGTCATTCGACCCTTGCATTTCATGAGGTCCATCTACATCAATCCTTCTATTAATTTTTTTGTGCTGCAAAATTGGAGATATATTTTTTGGTTAAATTACATTAACAGTACAATGTTTCAACTTGATATTGATTTATTCAACTTAATATTGATTTATTAAAATAGTGAGTCCAGTATTTTTTATTGGTTTTTTAAATAACAAATTTATAAATTGGGAGGGCTCAAGGACTACCAAATAATTTATGTATTTTCATGCTCTTCAAGTCGTGTTTACTTAACTTTCAACAAAAATGATTGAGAACTCTAATAAAAGAGTTCTAATGAACTCTAATAAGAGTGGGTCTCATTATGATGTGATGTTTTGATCTTGTGTTTTTTTATTTTTTTATTTTTTTGTTATTTGCCACATCATTAGAGCTCTAAAATTAGAGAGATGTATCATTACTCAACTTTCAAAATCTAACCATCACTTTCACAAAAGGAAAATAATATATAAGTCCATTTTTTAGATTTAATAATGTGTTAGGAAAATAATTGATTAATAATTAAAGAATATTTAATTATCAACTAATCATCTTCTTGATCATGTCCCATCACAAGATGTAGAAAGTGAATCTAATTTTTAGATCTGAATAGCGATGGCCTCCACAAAATCCCAAACCGTGTCAATCACGCGCTCTCACCGAAAGTGGGATACAAATTTCCAAATGCTTAAGAGAGCATGAAAGTAAAAAGTAGAAAGAACACAAGCCCTAACTCCCATTTTTGGTATGGGGTTGCAGATAGCAATCCTGAGGTTGAAAACAGAGAATCCAAAGAAGAACAAAAACCCAAATTCTCTCTCTCTATATATATATATACACACATCTCTTTTGTTAGGTCTCTATATATACATATATCTTTTTCTATCTTTTTGTCTAGCTAGGGTTTTGCAGTTTCTATCTTTAATTTATTTTCACCCATTTAGTCACATTGTGTACCCACTCAGAAAAAGAAGATCGATTTGCTAGCTAAGAGAAGAAGCAAGAACCAAAAAAAAAAACTTTTTTTTTGGAATATATTTAAGAAGAAGAAGAAGAAGAAGAGGAAAATGGGAAGAGGAAGAGTGGAGCTGAAGAGGATAGAGAACAAAATTAATCGACAAGTTACATTTGCAAAGAGAAGGAATGGACTTCTCAAGAAAGCTTATGAGCTTTCAGTGCTCTGTGATGCTGAAGTTGCTCTCATCATCTTCTCTAATCGTGGCAAGCTCTATGAGTTCTGTAGCACCTCCAAGTACTCTCTCTCTCTCTCTCTCTCCATCCATATATATATATTTATAGGATCTATTTTCATGATAGAGATTTGGTTTTTAAATTTCGGGATATGGGCAGATATCAAATTGACCAAGATAATATTGTATTGCTGATACCAATACTGATACTGATTTTTATAACCGTCATATAGATCTTTTGTGAGGTTTTGGTGCACCCTATTGTCAATTTTGATTCTTGTTCTAATTTCTTTTAAGTACATATTTTTCCTTAATTTGCAATGGGTCAAAGTTTGGTTTTGATCTGCTCAGCCGTACAGTACAATCTTTCTTCAAGATACAGATTAGGGTTTTAAAAATATGTATCAGGATTTTAAACTACTCTACATTTTTTGAAATCATGATACAGATCTTTTGTGTTGAGTGAGGTTTTGGTTCATCCCATTGTCAAAACATTTTTTTGCTTCTTGTTGTAATTTTTTTTGTATTTAAAAGCACATATTTTTCTCTAATTTGATACGGGTCAAGGTTTGATTTTGATCTTCTTTCAAGATACAGATTTGGGTTTTAAAAGAATTTAAGCTTTCGATCAACACCATATTTGTAACATTTTTAAAATCATGATATAGATCTTTTGTGTTTCATAATCTTTATTATTATTTTTTTCTTTTCTATTGCTTGTGTTGTAGATCTATCAACAGACAAACACAAAACCTTGCAATTCTCTCCTTTCCAGTCAAGTTTAGATCTCTTCTGTTCTTTTGTCCTTTTTTAGGCCAAGTTTGGGAAGTTGTAAAAAAGTTAAAAAGTCAAAAAATTATTCAAAAAGTTAAAAAGTTAATATCATTCACCAAAAGTCAACAATTACGGCTGTACAACTCCCAATTCGAATTTTTCCTTACAAATCAATTTTTACAATTTTTTATTACATATTTTTCTATAAAAAGTTAAAAAGTTAACCCAAACATCCATATTTTCAACCTCAATTTTTTAGTGTAAAAAGATAAAAAATACACTTATTGAGGACACCTCAAACAATCCCTTAAGTGAGAAAACTTGTTAAATTCTATCATTTTCTGTAGAACCCTATTTGCATTTAGATGGCTGTGGCTGATGACTTTGAACAATTTTGTTCCAACTATTGTGGGGAGAGAGAGAGAGAGAGAGAGAGGGGTGAATAATATCATGTTTGGCTGGGACTGTAGCTGTGAAATATTTTTGAATCCTGAGATGAGATGACATTTGTATATCTTTCGTTTCTTTAAGGTTCTGATCATCAGATACAACGATGCGATGGCCAGAGAAAGTTAATTACTTTTTCGAAAGAATCTGTTGTTTTGGGTCCTTAAATAACACATTTTCCAAGAAAGCAACCTGGGAGTTGTTGCTTAATTGTAGTTTATAGTCGGTTCTGTTCTTTGTTCACTCATCAATTCTTATTGTTTCTTTGATTTAACTCTGTAAATGCTAACATTAACATTAAACTTATATTACAATTTTCAAAGCTGGTTTATTTTTATTTTTATTTTTATTTTTACATTTATATTTTTTCCATTATTTTATATCATTGCGCCTCTCTTTTTTCGGCATATTAATTTTGACTAAAAATTTTGTTAAAAACTTGATTTGATATGAAACACTTAATTTCTACTTTTTCTTTTCATCAAATCTTTTTCAAAAATTTACTTTTTCAAAAATTTAAACTTACTCTTTTCAAAATGCTTCAGTTTGAATAAAAATATGACTGTTGAAAATGAAAAATCTAATTTATTCTTGATTTGATACAAATTTAATAAAATAATTGCAGCTCACTTTTAATGAGAGATGATCTTACTTGAGATAAATATTAATTTATATTTGTACAAATCCAAGTATATCCCTAAAAGATGTCATTTTGAAAATTTTTCCATCAAATCAATTCTCTACTTAATCGGGCAACAAAAGTATAAGATATAAAATGTGCTAGTGAGTGTGAGAAAGTATAAAGATGTTCAGCCACAGAAGCTATATAGAGTCAAGCTGTATAGAGTTCGTTTGATATTAACTTATGATACAATCTTTATCACTTGCAACAATCACCGCATATTATCCGTTATCAAAATATATAAAACTTTCTAATTAATGTATGTCACACCCGAAAATAACATTACATATTCCTATGCGAAAACTAAAAAATAGTTTCATGCATTTTCCTAAGAGGTGAATGCGCTTTCCAACTTAATTATACTCTAGAAAATTGTGGAGTACATTGTGAACATGCAATCCCATTTTCTCATTTGATTTGGGTGAAGTACTTAGTGATTTCTTGATTTGCATTTAGCCTTTCTCGCTTTTCCTTTTGTGAAACTTGGATAGTGCTTGTTGGGGACGAAGTTTTCGTTACCTAATGGGAAGATTTTTATATTATTTTTTATTTTTGTGAAAAACTATTTCATTTTGAATCATGGAACCTTTTTTTATTTTCTTTCAAAAATAGTTTTTTTTTATCAGCCACAAAGAAAAAAACTTTTATTAATGAAATCCAAGTCATTACATCAATAAAGAAAAAATTAATAAGTGCAAAAAGTATTATAACGAGGCAAAATGATTCCAAGTAGGTTGGCATCGAGATACACGTCCAATCACTTAATAGCACACTATCAAAAGTTAGTGAGAAACCAACCAAAGAAAAGAACAAAACAACCGCAAGCATAGCAGTACATTCCTTGCACAAAACTAACAACACCAGCTCTGCCCCAACATCAAAGAACCATCCAAAAACATGAGGAAAAACCAGCGAGCCACCCTTTGCATCAGTGTAGCCAAATCCAAGCCAACATACACTCTGCAATGAAGCTAACAGACAGTCCTCCATCTTCATTGGCTGCTCAAACACCTCCCCTGGTGCATAATTTGGTCTAATGTCAATTGCAGTAACGAATCTGTTTCAGACTTGAGACGAAATCATGAATCGAGTAACACAATGCCTGCAGGTGTGCCTTTACCCGAAAAGCAATTTGAACTTTGATAAGAATGTAAGCTGGTGTACGACTTTGGGGCCATACAGAGTTCATTTTATATAAACTTAACTCACAGTGGTTTGAAAATTGATAGCGTAAAGTTTGTAATTGAGGGTTTTGTGTTAGTCAAGTATTTCATATTTTTTCTTTCTTCCTAGAAAGGTTTAAATTGACAGTGAAACAAAGTGAGCTTTTATACCAAAAAAGAGGGTTTCATAACTGCTAAAAAAAAGTTGGACTTTTTTAAAAGGATGGATGATTCATAAGCAAGGAATGATTCACTTTCGAAGGTCCCTTCAGTTCTTTATAACAATTTCTTTGGACATGTTCTTTTTATTGTCTCTTAAATTCCACATATGTTACTTATTCTCGCATGTTTTTTTTCTATTTTTACTTAATCTCAGCATGCCCAAAACACTTGAAAGGTATCAAAAATGCAGTTACCATACACCGGAAGTTAATCACTTAGCCAAAGAGATCGAGGTATCTTAATTTTTATCACACTTACTACCTATTAATTATTTAGTGTATTGTTGTATTCGTCACCGAATGTTGAGAATTTAGTTAGCACAATGTAAAAATAGAAATTTAATGTCTTTTTCTTGTAAGTTGCTTTTTCAAATGCTATTAATTCATGCTCTAAATTTTATCATATTTGCAGTTTGTTTCAAATCGTAATAAACTTGTGCTATGCATGGATAAATTTTTTTTTTTTTTTAAATTGATGCAAAAATATTTATATAAAATATAATTAATTCATTATATTATTTTGTATTATTCATACTTAAAATAGTTTCCATATTTAATCTCAATAGTGAAATCTATTTTGAGAATGAATAGTACAATAGAGAAAACTATTTTTGTATTAATTTTTTTTAAAAAAAAAAAAACTCTCCTGAATGGCAGGTGCTATTTATTAGTCAATATTAGAACAAAAGAAAAAAAAATGGAAGAACCAATGATTCTTTAACATCTGTAATTTTACAATTAAAAAATCTAGAATTTGATGACCTCTCAATATTTTGCAAATTATAATGTATAGATTATCTTATTTTGTTCTGTCAACATTTTACATAATTTACTTCTTTTTGTGCCCTATAGCAAAGTAGCTACAGAGAATACTCAAAATTGAAAGATAAATACGAGGCACTGCAATGTTACCAAAGGTAATTAATTTCCATGAAAAAAATATTTAATTTAATTTTCTGGGTTCTTCAATTTTTCTGTCTATTTAAAGACCTAGTGTTTTTGTGTGTATATATATATATATATATTTCTCTTTTCTCTCTCATAACTTCTAATCCTTAATGTTGTAGACAGCTTCTTGGGGAAGACCTAGGCCCTCTGAATATAAAGGAACTTGAACATCTTGAGCATCAACTAGAGACAACATTGAGGCAGATTAGGTCAACAAAGGTAACCACTCTTTTATTACATACATTGACTATCATCAAAGGTATATTTTTAAGTTAATATTTCATTTTAATGTTTGGCAAAATCATTTGATTTCAAGCTCTAATGTTAACTTCTGATGGGAGAAAAGTCAATAGCTAGAAGCTGTGAGATGGTTGAGATAAAATTGAATAAGATGTCCCTTTTCTAGGAACTGAAATTGATAATTTGGGGCTAAATGATTCCATTTAATTATAGATGGCAGGGTTAATTTGATCTAAATCATAATAGTTTGAGTGTAAAATTTCAGGTGTTTTAGCAATTCCTCATCCTCATGTGAGAGGAGGGACAAGAAAGCTTCTTTCCCACAATATTAGTGGCATTTGTGATCATTAACACTAATTTCTGAATTTTAAAGGAGGAGGGATTAATGTGTATAAATTTATAAAATTTTTCTCTTATCATTATATCCTCTAAGTTATTTTTTTTAACATTATAATATATATTACATGTATCTAAGTTTTTGGTAAAAAAAAGATTTAATTAATATGAAACATTTAGACATGTGTTTGACACATGTTAGGAAGTGTTCTATAAGTATCAATATTGGATACAAAAATAGATACACACCTTCTTAAAGGTGTTCATACTTCGTAACTCACTTTCAAATTTGAACAATAGCCCTTTCATGATACTAACATTCATTTCCACACCAATGAACCATGTGTAGAAATTTTCTATATTTCTGGAAGTTTCAACTTATTGATGGCCCTGATGGTAGGTTTGTTGGAATATTGGAGGTAAACTCCATTGTATATGCACCCAAATATTTTCTATTATTGTTAGATTTTTTTATATCACCACTACAAGCCCTACAAGTCTTTTCCTCGCATGGACACTTCTTTCTCATTGGAGTTTTTCTTTTCCTTTCACACCCTCTTGCTTAAAGGATTTTCTTCCTCCTCCCTCTCGAAGACCTTTTTGTATTTTCTCTTCTCTAACGCTTAATGCAACTCAATCCATGGCACCTGTCTCTTTTTAGGGATCACATTTTTTTTTGAAACATAAAACATTACAAAAGGGATAAGAGTAGTAGCAAACCGACTCCAGGCACATTGTGACGGGTAATTATTCAATATTTCCAGAGAATGGACACATGGTATTTCATATTATTATGATTGGTGGAGAAAATGAGTAGGTGAGTATTGTATTTGGTGATTGGGGAACATAAGAAGGTATATTGAATAATGATTTTTTTTTTTTTTATTAGCAAAGAAAATCTTTATTGATAAAGAAAACATACATTACATATGAGATTATATCAATAAGGATGAAGAAGAAAAAAGAAAAAAAGGGAACAAAGCATAATAATGTTGGTGAGAAACTAACACTAACTTAAACCAACACTTGTTGTCACCCAGAGACCAGCTCTATAAAAGCTTATAACCTACAAGAGCACTCAGACTTTAATTCCTCCACACTTACCACACTAAAGCCAACAGTAGAGTTTTACACAATCTTGCTTCCAACTCTTGAAACTTTAAGCCAAAAAAAAATTCATACAATCCTACCAATGACCCACAGACATAAAAGCTTCAAGACTCGACATTTCTTCACGGGCCTACCCCTCTCTGTTGGTTCTCTCTTTATCCTGTAGCTCTAATTCAATAATCTTGTTCAGAACAACATCTTTTTTCCCATTGAAATTGATTCCAAGAGATTTCCCCAATTGTAGAGTGGCTTTGACTTCTTCAAGTAGATAATTGTTCGAACTTAAAGTACCCTTAGACAGATCTGAAAGTGCTATAACAGACTCTAGTAACAGACTCTAGTAACATGAAGCATAATAGCATGGAAGAAAGCAGCTCCAACGACATATGTGGCAGTGAAGTGAAAGGAAAAGTTCTAGAGGAGTGTTGCAAGGAGAAGGAAGAAGATGTTGAGGTGGCAGGAGTCAAAGTACACAACTCAAACACTGGAATGGTGGCAAACACAGTTGTTGAGGAGACAAAGTGGGATGAAGAATTCAACAGAGTTAATGGAGCATGTACCAAGGAAGTAGAACAAAGTTAAATGATGATTGATTAGGGAGTAAAAACACGTGATATTCTGAGAATATTTAATAATTTTCCATTTGTAACACATCTTACATGGTTAAGTAAACTCTTTTTTTTTTTTCTTTTTTCTTTTCGTTTTTTTGAGCTAGAGGTTTATTATGTGATCCCTAAATGTGATTCTGACCTGGTTTGCAGACCCAATCTATGCTCGATCAGCTTTATGATCTTCAAACCAAGGTACCCAATTTAGGAAATTAGTAAGTTTCTTTTCAATTCGATATATTGACAAACTATCCTTCAACTACAGGAAAAACTGTGGCTTGAGTCTAACAGGGCTTTAGAGACCAAGGTAAGTAACATCCACATAAATGCTTTGATAATGACCATAGATATATTATGTGTATTCTATGTTCCCTTTTGTTTTTGATTTTTATGTTTATAGAATAACAAAATTACTAATAATAAGAAATTCTAATGGTGTTAACTCTTTTTTTATTTTTTTTATCAGTAAAAAAACTTTATTGATGGAAAAACTATGAACAACCGTAAATAGAAACAATGTCCATATTTCATTATCAAGTGGAAACATTTATTTACAACTCCAAATAATTTCAAAATATTTTGAATTGAAAATATTTGCCCCAACTCTTTATTTTATTTAATCAATTCTCAGTTCATGCTTCCTTTTTTTTTTTGTTTTTGGTTGAATGTTCACACAAAAATATGCTTTTCATGTCATGTTTGGCAGCTCGATGAAATTTACAGAGAACATCACATTCGGTCATCATGGGCTGGAAGCGAGCAATGTAGTATATTCAGCCAGCAGCAGCAGCAGCACCCTCAATCTCAAGTGTTCTTCCAGCCTTTAGAATGCAATTCCAATTTGCAAATAGGGTAATCTTTCAACTTCTCAATCCATCTTTTCTTTTCAAAAGCTTGATTAACTAGCAAATTCGAAAACAAAAAAGGGCCACATCATATGCATAAATTTAGTTTATATGATAACACCCTTTTTAAGTGGGCAAAATAACTTATTCACTCTCTTAAAATGATTGAAATGTGAGTATTCAATTTGAAATGATTCATTCTCTTTTTAATGGGCTATTTTGTCCATTTCTACAATTTATTAATATATATTATTACTTAGACTAAATTAACCCAAAACTGATACAATTAAAAAACAAGGACCAAATTGACATGAGACAAATTAGAGGGTCTAAATGAATAATTTTCAAAAAAATTAGTTTGTATAGCATTAAATTTGAAATGTGTGGATCAAATCTGTTTTAATTGTATCTAACACCATACCAAGTTTAAATTTGAAGTATACATTTAATTCTAGATAATTTTTTGAATGTATATATTTTTTCTAAATAAATAACATTTTTTTAAAAATTCTCCATTTAACAAGGGTTTTGAATGCAGGTATAATCCTGAAGTTTCAAACCAGATAAATGCTGCTGCAAATCATGATGACCCAAATATGAATTCATTCATCCCTGGGTGGATGCTTTGATGAGTTGTACTTTGAAAAGACACAATACACCAGGCAGAGGTAGATGCTGCATTTTGTGGTTGATCATCATCAGACAAATATATAAATGCTATATATATATGACTATCATATGTTGTAACCTATAATAATGTACAAAAGTGATTCTGGATTTTGGAAAACTTGAAAAAACCCTTTGACCATGGCATGTAATGTAAACAACTTATGGCTACTATGGTGGATATGAGAGAGAGACCTTATTTTATCTATTTGCTTTAAATAAATTGGTTGTTTGACCTTTTTATTGAATTTTTCATTGATGTTGATATCTTCTAGGATTGTTTGATCTTGTAAATATTTATGTTTGCACTTCATAGTATCTATTTCTTGTACATGTGATCATGGGGACTAGTAATGGTGGAGAAAATCATTTGCTAGTTTCCTAGAGTTTACGTGAATTGCATTAAGCTCTTTTATTTTTTTCGACAATAATTTTTGTATTTTTTTGGCATTTTGGTACAATGAAAAATGAAAGTCAACCCTATTTGGATAGAAAATATTTTTCATTTTATTTAAGAAAACAGTTCAGATTTCTTCAAATTTTATTTTTCATTTGGGTAAATTACAATAACCTCCCTTAAGGTTTAAATAAAATACCGTATTTCTTAAAGTTTTGATATAATTACATTAAACTCCCTTCATATTTAATTCATATAACTCTTAATTTTATTTTCATCAATACTTTGTTAGTTATATGCATGAAAAAATGTTTACATGAAAATATATATTTTACATTGTTTATTTTTGTATTTCCGCACTATCTAAATTAATTTCGGTTCATTTAACCTTATTAAAAGAGTTTTTTTTTTTTTAAAAAAAAAAATTCAAGCTCTCTAATGTTCTTCCTTCAAGACAAAAAAGAATAATTACTAAAAAAAAATGCCCAGTCTAATATTTTATGACATTTCAAAAACAAACAAAACAAAATTTGAACACAACAAAAAAAATATTTTATGAGATGTGCATTCTTATACTTTATTCCTTGGAAAAGTAATATGCAGCCCACTCTTGAGAAATGCGAAATGGGCCTTGCTAATAAAATTTAAGCCCGTGGATTCGCGTATTGACATCATGATATTGGGCTTTAACTTGAGCTGACGGACCCAGCCCAACTGAATATGGGTCCTTCAATTGTTTAACCTCATTCAACTGTGATATTGGGGTGCAAGGCAACATTCAAATTATCTTCAAGCCAGTTGCCTTAGGCCCAATTTAAACTCTAGGGATGTTTGGTACAGTTTATATGAGTTTTTTATATATATATATATATATATATATTTATTTTTTTATTTTTTTTTATTTTGGAGTTTGTATTAGATTATTTGATACATTTTCTACTTACAACTTATCAAGCAGAAATATCTTAAGTAACATGAAGAAAAAAAAAAGTTGATTATTTTTTGTTTTTAGAGGGGGAAAAAGTTTGATTATTTGAAAAGAATATTTTTGACTTTTGTATTTTTATTATTAATTTTTAATTTATAATAAATTGCAGATTCTTAAATTAAGAATCCTGCAAAGGGTCTACAACAAATGTCCTGGGAGACACACACACACACACACACACACAAAAGGATAAAAAAAAATTAAAAATATTAGACACTTTTAACCTATTTCAAGATATTTTTCACTAATAATTCTATATATATATATATATATATATCTCATCTTTTTATACCATATTTACGAGCTGATGTGGAGCATTCATCACCGTTACTGCAACAGATTCCGCATGAACTTTCATTAATATATAACTATTATGAATGTGCCTTATTTTGTTTCACTAATTTTTCTATTTTTTATTTTAACTCTTTCAACATTTTCGTTGATATACAAAAAAACAAAAACAAAAAAAAAAAAAAAGCATTTTTCACATCAATCTTAATATTGAAAAATATTCCAAGATCTTCATCGAATTTATATGACTTTGGCTCATTCATTTATTCGGCTTTTGCCAATGAAATTTTTATTAACACGAGTTTGGCTTCTTTTAGAAGTTAGCTTTAAAAAAATTAGTTTATTGATTAAAAATAAAGTTAACAAAAAAGTTAATACTAAAAAAAACTATATGAATGGAAAAATATCTGTTTGGTTTAGTTTCAGAATTATGATTTGATTGTGGAGTTGTGTTTTAGTTTTGAGTTTTTGAATCATGATTTAAAAAGAAAAAATTTGTTTGATTATGAGTTTTGAAAATAATTTTAGGATGATTTATAATTTTATATATATATATATATATATATATATTTTTTTTTTTTGATAAATTGATGTATAGAATGTGAGAGAATGTGAAAGGAGAGAGAAGAGATGGAAAAGAAAAAGTGATTGATTAATTGAATAATAATTAGAAAAAAAAAAAAGAAAAGAAGAGCATATAGAAGTTTTAAAAGTAATTTTGAATTGTATTTTAAAAATATGTTTCATTAACATGTGCCATCCAAATTATGATTTAAAACGCTACCATAGTATTCCCAAATATCTATACAAAAAAGTGAGCAAAATGAACCATTTTTAGTAAAACTTTTAAGAAAGTTGCCAAAAAAAAAAAACTAAATACACAAGTAATATAGGATTAGAGATAATTTTTTAATGTTTCTTAACTAATAAATACTTTAATAAAAAGAATCACAATAATTTGAATGATAAAAGTATGATATGCTTATTCCTCTTTTCTAGTAAAAATACTATAATCAGATATTATTCTTCGTAGAATCAGATTTTCCTTGTGCAAATTGATTTAAACTACGATCGATTCTTCATTAATAACATGTTCTTGCGATGCCAACATGAAACATTAATGATTAATTAAGGCCTCTAATCTATTAAAAAAATTAATTAAAGTAAAGCTAGTATAAATTAATATTTGTGCTTCGGTAGTGGATCTCTTCTTATGATTTGAGTCACATCAAGCCGGCAATTGACAACCCCAAAACTTGGGTTCACGAATACTATAATAACACCTCAAAAGTTAAAAAAATAAAATAAATAATCAATTCTCAAGAATGGTGGCAGACACACATTGCTGTCTTCCATTTTTAAATTTTTTTTAAATTCTTTATTTATACCTAAATGGCATCAAACCCATTAGTAGAAGATTCCTTAGTGGTCTATTTTGATAAATTAGTTAAAAGTCAATTTTTTAAGTTTTTTTTTTTTTTTTCACATTATCTCTATATTTTTTTGCACATTTTTTAAAAATTAATTTTTAATTTACTTTTCAAATATAACTAATATTCCACATGAACTTAAAAAGACATGAAATCTTTTGTTGCTAAATTTTTGTCTCTTTCTTTTAAGATGTTTGTGTAATTAGATTGAATTACATGACATAAGATGAGCATGTACAGAAAAACAATACAGAATTATGTGGTATGTTTTGAATATATCATTATAAAGCTAAAAATTGATCAAGATGGCTTCATCTTTCAAATTTTCATTAGCACATCATTCTTATCCAACAAAATTTAACACATTCTGTATAAATATCATTTTTTCATTCTATTTGTTTGGTAACGTTTACGTTTTCAGTTTATATTTACAAAAATTTTATAAATTGGTTTTTGTTTATTTTTTGTTTATTTTTAGAAAAACATAAACTACAAACGCGTTTGGTAATTGACAAAATGTTTAAAAAAAATTAAAAATATAAAAAAGAGTGAGAAATGGCAAGTGGCGGCGGAAGACGACGGTTGAAAGTGGTGACGGTGGGTGGTGGGTAGTTGGTGGTGGTGGGTGGGTGGGATCTGTCATGTACTTACTCACTCGGTCCTCCCCATTTAATCGCCCTCCTGCTCGGCTTATTTGACATCTGAAATGGCAGGGGCGGGGCCGAATGCATACTATACACCGATTGGGAATTTATACGTTGCCTATCTGCGTTTGCAATTATTCGGCCACCGCAGTCTCTAAAGTATGGATTTAGGGTGTCTGCTGTGTTATTGTTGTGTTGTCCTATGGGCTTATTTCAAGATCCGTTTTGATAATCCGAACTGTTCACATTTTAGAGTACACCGAGTAGAATATGCCTACAAAAAAATAAATTAATCGAATATCGTTAACCTTTAATCCATTCACATTTGTATTCATTTTAATACTTTAAATCACAATGTTATTTATTTTTATAGATACAAATGTAAGTGGATAAAAGGGTTAACAATAGCCGATTAACTTGATATTTTGTAAGTATATTCTACTTAATGCATTCTAAAATGTGAACGGTCTAGATCATCAAAAAAGATCTTGAAATGAGTCCAGAGAGCAGCACAACAGTGCCTGCTGTGCTGAGGGCACAGCAAGCACTGCAAATCCCCAAAGTATAGAGTTTGTATCATTTTGATTTCTAATATTCAAATTATCCATTTAGTCTCACATAAATAAAAACTGTTTTGATTTGATCCCAAAATAATTCCCTTTGTAGATATTGTTAAAGTTATAGGTAAATACAAAAATTCAATTAAAAGTTTACTCTTTTAATCTCCAAAGCAAAATATTTGTATTTTTTTAATTCCTAATGTTTGAATTGTATCAATTTAATTCTCAAAATATAAAAGGTATTTTAATTTGATCATCCAACCTAATTTCATATCTCTTCATCACAATCAAGGATAGAGTATGGAAAACATAAGTGTAAATCAAACTAAATCAAGCCTTAAATCCCATCAAATAAGGCCGGCTAAGTATGGAAAATATAAATATACACTGCATATTTCTTCTTTTTCTTGTTGGTGACGATTGCTGTAGTCGTGATACAGTGCATATTTTGGTGGTGGGGTCTAAAGAATTGGGGTTCCAAGAAAATAAATAAGATAATTTTAGACTGTGTTTGGTGGAGATTTCTAAACGCAATTTTACCCTTTGGTTTCAGTGTGATGTTTGGTCAAAATTTTCAAAAGTTGATTCCTAATCCACTTTTCGAAACACGTCTACTCGGTCATCCTCTCGGACGTCTGGCTGATTGGAATAGTGTTCGTGTGTTTTTTTTTTTTTTTTTTTGGGCACCTGTTATTTTTATATTTTAAATAAAAAAATATTTTGGAAATTTTTTTTAAAAAATTTATGAGTTTTGAATAGAATTTTGGATTGTGTGTTTGGTTATAAGTTGTAAATTTTTGAATCAAATATCATATATCACATCACTCAATTCAAAACTCTTTTCAAAACTCATAACCATATAAATTTTCTACACTCAAATCATAATTTCAAAACTCATAAACTTAAAATACAATTAGATTCTTAAATTATAATTTTAA